CTAGTAATTCCAAGAAGTTCTCTTCCCCAGAAAATTTCTTGATTGTTTGTTTTGGGAGCTTGCTGAAGCCATTATGGTGTGCCTGTTTATGTAACTTGGTTTTGACTGTTTTCTCCAAGCCATCAATAAGTTATTGTATTTATTTATTGTGTGTTTGCTTACTGTGTCCTAGCTTCTTGTTTTATTTTGATATGCTCAAATAGGCTGCTCACGTGAGCTCATTTGATTTTTGGCACCTTTGAAGCTCTTAATGTCCCGTCACCAGCTGGTTAGATCTGTTACTAGTTATGTGAGCCGAGGATTCCGTTTACTTTTCTTGTATGGATTCAGCTCAGGTGTCCAGACAGTTGGTCACCGGGTGTGTAGTGCAGGCTCTCAGTTACAGTCGTAGATGGGCAGTTGTGATTGGAATAGGCATAGGTATCTGGCTGCAGTAGAGGGTCATGCGCTGAGCAAGGGCAGGGGGCTGACGGCTGCACCTGAGTGTCTGGGAGGAAAGCGTGTCCCTGTTCCCTAGAGTGCATAAGTGGGTGGGTTTTACAGCTGGACTGTGGACACCCAGTGCTGTTGGGTGTAAGGACTGGGAGGCATCACTTATTCTTGGACCCCTGTTGCAGGTGGCTAGGTGGTGTGAGTGGAGCCACCGGTCCTCAGGCCCCTGATGTAGGTAGGTGAGGACTCTGCTTAATGGTATCAGATGTCACGAACCTGCCACTCCACCATATAACTAATACAGTTGAAGTTAGGCTTCAGGTATATACTCCATTGTACTGTGCTAAGGAGGGCCTACGCTGTTGAAATGGGCCCAGACAGGTCTGTTCATGGGTGAAAGGCATTCAAAGTCCGTGGACCCCTTATGCCTGTGCCTAGTCAAAGGAGGTGTGCCTGCCCTCAGTTCTCGGCTTGGGGAGCTGGCAGATTATTTTTTCCTGTTTGTTAATTTGTTCCCTCTCCAAGGCCGGGAGAATGGCTCAGGGCGCATGACGGGTCCTACTTCTGGGTCCTGCTGCTGGCCCAAGGGACGCAGCAGTCACTGAAGCCAGCCTGGGACCCAGTGCAGAGCAGGGAGGGAGCTGGTAAATGGGAGCGAGGTTCTTCCCAAATGGGGTGCTTTTTGATCTGCATGTTAGGTTAAACGCATGTACTTATCTTTTGCCAACTGAGCGCCGCTCTTCACTGGCTCTGGAGGCCTGAGCAGACTCTCTGCTGCTTGGTCTCTCCCGACATGGAAAACGTGTCCGAACACCACTGCTTGTCTCACCGTGCACTGCAGCCAATCCAGCTGGCAGGGCGTTAGCTCCCACCGGGTCAGGTCTGGCAACTCCTGCTTCTGAACCACTCCTTCTGCTTCTGAACCTTCTCTCTCTACTGCTGCCACTCAGTCCGATTCCTCAGCTTTGCTTTTGATGTTCAGGGCTCCTGTTACTGATTTCTTAACTACTGATTCCATGAGTGTTGACTGTGGCTCCAAGTAAAATGAAATCCTTTACAACTTCAGTCTTTTCTCTGTTTATCATGATGTTGCTTACTGGTTTTGAGGATTTTTGTTTTCTTTATGTTGAGGTGTAATCCATACTGAAGGCTGTAGTCTTTGATCTTCATCAGTAAGTGCTTCAAGTTTTCTTTATTTTCAGCAAGCAAGGTTGTGTCATCTGCACAACACAAGTTGTTTATAAGTCTTCCTCCAATCCTGATGCCCTGTTTTTCTTCATATAGTCCAGCTTCTAGGATTATTTGCTCAGCATACAGATTGAATAGGTAAGGTGAAAGGATACAACCCTGACGCACATCTTTCCTGACTTTAAACCACAAAGTATCCTTTGTTCTGTCGGAACAACTGCCTCTTGATCTATGTACAGGTTCCTCATGAGCACAATTAAGTATGCTGGAATTCCCGTTCTTCGCAGTGTTATCCATAATTTGTTATGATCCACACAGTCAGGTGCCTCTGCATAGTCAGTAAAACACAGGTAAACATCTTTCTGGTATTCTCTGCTTTCGGGTAGGATCCATCTGACATCAGCAGTGATATCCCTCGTTCCATGTCCTCTTCTGAACCTGGCCTGAATTTCTGGCAGTTCCCTGTCGATATACTGCTGCAGCTGCTTTTGAATGATCTTCAGCAAAATTTTACTTGTGTGTTATATTAATGATACTGTTCGAAGGTTCTGCATTTGGTTGGATCACCTTTCTTGGGCATAGGCATAAATATGGATCTCTTCCAGTCAGTTGGCCAGGTAGCTATCTTCCAGATTTCTTGGCATAGACAAGTGAGCACTTCCAGTGCTGCATCTGTTTGTTGAAACATCTCAATTGATATTCCATCAATTCCTGGAGCCTTGTTTTTCACCACTGCCTTCAGTGCAGCTTGGACTTCTTCTTCAGTACCATCGATTCCTGATCGTATGCTACCTCTTGAAATGGCTGAACATTGTCCAGTTCTTTTTAGAATAATGTCTCTGTGTATTCCTTTCATCTTCTTTTGATGTTTCCTGTGTCGTTTAATATTTTCTCCATAGAATCCTTCACTATTGCAACTCAAGACTTGAATTTTTTTTCTTCAGTTCTTTCAGCTTGAGAAATTCCAATGCGTTCTTCCTTTTTGGTTTTTTATCTCCAGCTTTTTGTATATGTCATTATAATATTTTATCTTCCCGAGCCACCCTGTGAAATGTTCTGTTCAGTTCTTTTATTTCATCATTTCTTCGTTTATCTTTAGTTACTTGACATTCAGGAGTCTCTCCTGACATCCATTTTGGTATTTTCTTTCTTTCTTGTCTTTTTAATGACCTCTTGTTTTCTTCATGTATGATATCCTTGATCGTTCCACGACTCGTCTGGTCTTCGGTCATTAACATTCAATGCGTCAAATCTGTTCTTGAAATGGTTTCTAAATTCAGGTGGGATATAGTCAAGGTCGTACTTTGGCTCTTGTAGACTTGTTCTAATTTTCTTCAGTTTCAGCTTAAGCTTGCATATGACAATTGATGGTCGGTTCCACAGTCGGCCCCTGGCCTTGTTGTGACTCATGATATTGAGCTTTTTCATCGTCTCTTTCCACAAATGTAGTCAGTTCGATTCCTATGTATTCCATCTGGCGAGATCCGCATGTATAGTTACCGTTTATGTTGGTAAAAAAAGGGATTTGCGATGAAGAAGTTGTTGGTCTTTCAAAATTCTGTCATGCGATCTCCAGCATTGTTTGTATCACCAAGGCCATAGTTTCCAACGACTGATCTTTGTTTCCAACTTTCGTATTCCAATCACCAGTAATTATCAACGCATCCTGATTGCATGTTCAATCAATTTCAGAGTGCAGAAGTTGGTAAAAATCTTCAATTTCTTCTTTGGCCTTAGTGGTTGGTGCATAAATTTGAGTAATAGTCATATTAACTGGCCTTCCTTGTAGGTGTATGGATATTATCCTGTCAGTGATAGCATTGTACTTTAGTGTAGATCTTGAAATGTTCTGACTGTGAATGCAACGCCATTCCTTTTCAGGTTGTCATTCCTTGCGTAGTAGACCATATGATTTTCCGATTCAAAATGGGCAATACCAGTCCATTTGTGCTCACTGGTGCCTAGGATGTCGATGTTTATGTATTCCATTTCATTTTTGATGATTTCCAATTTTCGTAGATTCATACTTCATGCATTCCACATTCCAATTATTAATGGATGTTTGCAGCTGTTTCTTCTTATTTCAAATCCTGCCACACTGGTAAATGAAGGTCCCGAAAGCTTGAGTCCATCTATGCCATTAAGGTTGACTGTACTTTGAGGAGGCAGCTCTTCCCCAGTCGTATTTTGAGTGCCTTACAACCTGAGGGGCTCCTCTTCCAGCAGTATATCAGACAGTATTCTGCTGCTATTCATAAGGTTTTCACTGGCTAATTCTTTTCAGAACTAGACTGCCGAGTCCTTCCTCCTAGTCTGTCTTAGTCCGGAAGCTCAGCTGAAACCTGTCCGCCTTGGATGACCCCGCTGGTATCTGAATACTGGTGGCATAGCTTCCAGCATCATAGAAACACGCAAACCCCTAGAGTACAACAAACTGACAGACACGTGGTGGTCAGGGCCCCTAGATTGTCATATGTAATCAATTCACTTGTTTTTTTTGGGTCTTTGTTGTAATAGGGACCACCGGAAGCATCTGGCTACTCCGCCATCTTGGCCTCACCTCAATAGTATTTTTTGATGAGCAGAATTTGTTGATTTTAATGAAGGGTGATTTAGAAATTTTTTCTTACAGTTGATTTCTTTATGTCCTATTTAAAGAAATCTTTTAAATTTTAGAAATGTATTATTTTGGCCCCATCTAAGACTAATCTTGACCAAAAAAAAAATCTTTGGCGATGTGGTCTAGTCATCTGTAGTTGTAAAAAAATAAAAACTCTAAGGGTGATTTGGATGTGTAGCCAGAGTAAAGAATCACTGGTTTAGTTAATAAAATTCAGACTCTTAAGAGCCTCTGTACTAAGTACGCAGCCTAGCTTTGCTACCTTATTTCCTGTTCTTCCTCTGTGTGTTCCCCGACTACAGCCAAACGGGATGACTTGCTATTACCACTCTCACCTGTCTTCATATTTTTATTCTTGGTTTTCTTTTTGCTTGTCCTATATTCCCAAATATAAAATGTATTTCTTTAAAGACTTTCAACTTTTGCTTTATTTCTTCCCCACCATTCTTTCCCAAGCTGAAAAGTCTCCTTTCTCTAAATTTCTTAGCAGTGATGTTTGCACATCTCCTGATGTATTTAAAATATGCTGAATTAATTTACCCTTACTTCTATATGTATCTTCTCTTTTCACCAGATGGTAAATTTCTTTAGGGTGAGGACTATAGTTTATCCATCTTTATAACCTTCATATTGTTTGTTATAATGGTGCCTTGCTCAATAAGCATTTTTGACAGATAATTAAAACACCATTTCTTTACGTATTTGTTGACATATTTTAATGTTAAATTTTTTTCAACCAATTTTTTTTCTTATTTTGTAGAGTAAAATGAAAAAAATGAAGGAAAAATACAAAGACCAAGATGAAGAAGAGCGTGAACTTATCATGAAATTGCTGGGGGTAAGTGATGTCTAAAAACATTTTTGTCTTTGTCGTTTCAGTGGGCACATTGCTCACAGCAGAATGCTAGGCATTCAATAAATATTTGTTACATATTGACAACATTAATTTTCTGTATGTGAATTAAAGTCTGCAGGTTCAAACAAAGAAGAAAAAGGAAAGAAGGGGAAGAAAGGCAAAACAAAAGATGAACCAGTGAAGAAGCAGCCCCAGAAACCTAGAGGTGGGCCAAGGGTTTCTGACAGCATTAAGAAAGAAACTCCCTCCCTAGAGGTTCTCACTCCTGAGTTTAAAGACTTGGCTGTAGACGATCCACATGATGACAAGGTAAGATTACCACATGTGGGCTTCTTTCTTAATTAGGGTGACCAACCCCCTCCCCCCGAGTTTTCCCAGGGCTTTATAGTGCTAAAACTGGGAGGAGTTGGTAACCCTATTCTTGATGGAAAGTCATTGTAGAAATACAGCCTTTAAGAAGACTAAAATTGTAGTGTCTAAGCATAAAAATGGTAGTGTTGACAGCTGATAAAAAGTTTATCATAAGCTTTTACAAAATAATCAGTTTTATGGAGGGGCTTTATTTGATTCTGGTGGAAACTGATTTAGTTAAGATAAGGTAATAAATAGGAATGGCTTGAAGATGAGTGAAGAATTTTCACTTCTCTAGGTTTTTCTATAGAAATATATGCTTTATTGTCTTCAAATGTTGAAAGTGAGTACACAGTTAAATGCCAAGTACACTGGTTGCAAACCATTGCGAAGTTAACATTTGAACATTTGTTAAGATGTTGCCTAATTGTTTTATTAGAAATCTATTAAAATTTCTCCTAAAACTGTTGAACAGGGATTGAAAAAAGTTTTGTTCACAAAATTCGTATCTTCTTCTCCGTGGCAAATATATCAACTTTAGTCATTTTAAACTCTCCCTATGAAGTTCTCTGCTTTAGCATATACGTTATGCGAAAGTCTTTTAACTTCAGAGAACTATCCTTTTTCTCTTGAATGGAATTGCTTCCTGAAAAATTAAACATACCCACACAAATAAATCCACTCCAAGTTCTTGGGACACTGAAGAACACAACCTTAGGGGCCCTGACCTGTGGGTTAGATTGTGAGTATTGTTATAACACTTTTTCTTTCTTTTTATGGTTTAATGATGTGGAATTTAAACTTAAGTTATAGCTGACTTTTTTGTTTTTATCTGTTTGGAGCAGGACGAGCAAGATCTAGATCAACAGGGAAATGAGGTATGATTTTGTATTTGGTTTCTACTGCAATACTCTCATTGCATCCAGTTCCCAGAATATTTGACACAAAACTTAAAAGGCTAAGACTACAGGCTCTGCAGTCAAACTTTGACTTTGCATCCCACCTTCACTACATATTAACTGCAACTTTGGAGACATTATTATTCTTTGCATCATCTAAAAAATGGAGATAGTAATTGGACCTACCAGGAGAGAGTTCTTTTAAGAACTAAAATAATAGTATGTAAAGCATTTAGAAGTTTCTGGCACATAGTAAATATTCAAATATTATGCTTTCCATTCTAAGCATTTGTTTCTAAATCTAAATTTACTCTTAGGTTGTTAGACAAATATGAGCAATCTTGTAGGCAGCCCACCAACTAGGAGCTCTTAAGTACCTCTAGGATTTCTCCCAAAGAATAGGCAAGAGGGAAGGCTATTGTAGCCCAGAGCTTTTCAGCTTTGACACTACTGACATTTTTTGGGGTGGACAATTCTTTGTTATAGAGGACTATCCCATGCATTTTAGGGTGTTTAGTAATACCACTGGCCTCCACCCACTAGATGCCTGTAGCATCTTTACCCACAGTTGTGACAACCAAAAATGTCTCCAGACTTTACCGACTGTCTCCTGGGGAACAGAATCCCACCTGGTTGAGAACCACTGGTCTCGCCAAAATATCAGTCCCATTTCCATCTGTTGGACTTAAACCTATTTGTGATCATTATTGTGCATCATTTTAATCCAGTAGTTTTCTGAAGCTCATGTAATATCCAGCAAGTTTTTCTCCCTTTCTATTAAATTCATCTGTAGGTGGTATTTTGAAAATCATTATTCTCATTACTCATCATACTATGCAAAAATTATAAGTAGTAAAGAATATACATTTAAACATCTTTGGTATTCAACTCTTAAGAATATAAAGCTGTTCTTGCTTATAGTGTATGTCCATCAGAAAAGGATAAATATATGTTGGCAATGCTTTAGTTAGAGTTTTCCTTTTCTAGGACTGGTATAAATTACTTTTATAATTGTTTTTATTTTCATCTTTTAGGAAAATCTATTTGATTCTTTGACAGGGCAGCCACATCCTGAAGATATTCTATTGTTTGCCATTCCAATATGTGCCCCTTATACCACCATGGCAAACTATAAGTAAGTCACCATTAGTTTATTTATAACAGCTGACACAATAATGACTTCTATGAATTATTTTACAATTATGTAGTAACACATGTAATTCTTCCTTTTTAAAGATACAAAGTGAAGCTTACTCCTGGAGTTCAGAAAAAAGGAAAAGGTATTTTTTTTTTTTTTTCCTGTATTATGATTTTAAACAGTTCAGTGGACGAACAGAAATAGATTTTGTTTTCTATTTATAGCTGCAAAAACAGCCTTGAACAGTTTCATGCATTCCAAAGAAGCAACAGCAAGAGAAAAAGACTTATTCCGCAGTGTAAAGGTAAACCTTTCTTCCAGAACTCTATGGAGATTGGTGGTACAATAAAAAGTGTTAGTAATTATAGTTTTCTATTAGTTGCTCTTGCTTCATGTAGTAGATGCAAGTTTCAGCTATTGTTTTGGTAAGAACTGCTATCTTACTAGAACCAGTAAAATAAATAGTAAGAAAATTTCAGCTGCAAATTTTGGAAATGCCTTTGACGGCTGAGTATACATAATTGTTATAAAAGAAACATATATGACCATATAAAATGTGAAGATACTCAGCGATTTTCTTTTTTTAGGACACAGATTTATCAAGAAACATTCCTGGAAAAGTGAAAGTGTCTGCACCCAATCTTCTGAATGTAAAAAAGAAATAGCTGAATGAGATCATAAAATACTCTATTGAGAAGAGCCAATTTTATAGCCTTTTGGAAGTTAAAAGATGAAAAGACCATGTAACAAGACTTCTGAATTTAAATAATGAACTAAAGATTGCCTTGCTGTATTTGCCAAAAGGACTTTGTTTTTTCCAGTTTTATATAGAGGAAACACTATCTATCTATGGTAGGATTTCCTAAAATATTTGTGGACAATTAGAATAACTAACTATAATTGTATACAACTGTATTCTCCTACATTTACTTGAAATTTGGGAGGTTAATACCAAGTATTCATATTTCATGTTGTAAAGAAATCAAATAGTGAAGAAGTGGCTCAGTTGCTTATTTACTTGATATTCTGTATATAAAGTCTAATATATATATATATATATATATTACTCAGAGGCTAATCACAACAGTGTTTTGTTTGTTTTTTTGTGGCGAGGGGGCAGCTGAACATTTAGGATTATGTCTTGAAAACCCTAAGTATTGAAGGAGTAGATTTCCTTCTGCCTTCCACCTGCACTTGTCAAAAAATGTTAGACCAGATTTAAAATACAAAATACTAATAACTCCCATGAGTCAGCTTAGGAAATAGCACCTAGAAGAAATCTGTGTTGATTTCCATGCATTTATATACATCTACACTTTTTATCTTAACTTCTTCCCTATAGTTTTATTCTGTTTTGTACCATTTTCCATCTCTAGTAATTATCAATAGGCACGTTAAGAGTTACCTTAAACTTGTAATATCAGAATTCTGCTTTAGGCTATGGCTGAAGACTCTTGACCCAGCTTTCTTCTTTTGTCTCCTAACTGAACTAACTCACAGAGAACAAAGTTTCATAATACGTTATTTCTATTCTTTTATGAGCTACAAAACTCTGTTACCTTTTAATTGATTGGACAGCAGCTGCTGATAGTCAATATGACTACTTGCCTTAGCCCCTCCACCAAGGCATTAAGGTCTAAGTACTAAATAGCTTGTGGTCACTCCACAATTTCTTTTACCAGCTTAGTCTATGGAGAATATTTTTCCATTTGAAATATTAATGTTTAAAAAAAAACAAAACTTTATTATGTTGTATTTACAATAAGTATAGCCTACTCTTGACATATGAAAAAAATCGAAAATACTTTTTAAAAATAACTACACTACTTTGATAGCGGTAAGAATATTTAGTATGTTTGTACAGGTAGATGTCCTGAAGTTACCAAAAAGGAAACAATAACCATTCCTTGGGGTAAGAAGCCCCAGTGTTAAATTTCTTTTGCTTTAATAGAGGACAGTTACTGGTGTTAAATACATTTATTGCAAACATCTCAGACACAAAAATAGGTTCTCTAGGCCATACACATGCACATTAAAATAAAAAAGCTGTGAACTACAACAATGCATATAATTATACAAATGATGCCACCCTGTGACGTTTACAGAATTGCTGTCCATGCAAGGTGATCAGAGGCATTATCTGTGAGGCTTTAAGATCCAGAAGTGTTGTTACTACCAAACCTCTGATTAACACTGTGAAGTAAGTGTTTTGGAAGGCAGTTCCATGAGCTGGCTAACATTTCTTTAAAGCAAATAACTGCTTCTAAGCTTAGCCTGAAAATGGACATGAAAGAGAAAAAAAAATTTCATTTACAGTTCAGAAGTACATTCACTTAAACTACAAAAAATAAAAATAAAAAACTTTGAAGATTTTTGTAGGAATTTGTTAGTTAATACTCATCACTGCCCTTAAATCTGTAAACCTGGTTGTTCAAGAGTGCTAATTTAAATGTTAAGAGACACAATTTAATCTGAGTACCTTACTTACCTTACAAGAGATTTTGGTTGAACTGAAAATATAAGTATTTCATTACTGTGTGCCTGAAAGATAGATTTGAAGAACGTATCATAAAGCAAGTGCTTCACAAATAAGTTTCAGTAATATTACGAAGTCCCCTTTAACATAGAGAGTACTATACTTACAGCTCTGTGATGGACAAGTAGGTTGTTGGCACATCCTCCAAAAACAATTACTTCTCCTTCGTCACTGGCACAAGCTGTATGCCATAACCTGCATTTAAAACAAAAACTTACGTTTGAAGAAAACCACAAAAAAAAGACCAAATTGATATTTTATCACTCTATTCTATTGTATAAACTAAGACTAGAGATCTTTTTAGATAGTTCAGACCAAAACATCATGGTAAAGCAAAATCTTCAGGCAAAATAGCAAAAGCTACAAAAAATGAAGTCTAATCTATCTCTCTTGTCTAATCCTCACTTCTACAATGAGGGTTTGAAGGGAATGATCTGTTCTCTGGGTCTTCGTTAGTAATAAAATCTTATGGGAAGATTGAGTGATAGATGCCCTCTGCTCAGTCCCCTTTCCATAGGCAGGGCCCACTGCCTTACATAAAACATATGAGGGATGCTGAAAGCCCTGCCTGTATGAAAGTAGCTGAAAGCCTGGCAAGTCTATGGAAACAGCATTGTTTCAGATGAAGCCTACTAATGGCATGACTGTACTTAGGTTAGAGGCTTGGAAAAAATGCAGGATTACATATCTAAATGTGCTTTGAACAAATTTTTAGTGTTATCTCCTTTGCCAATCTTTGTAACAATTGTGGTTAATCAAAACAAGAAAAATAACCATCAGCTTAGGAACAAATTTAAGAGAAATATTTCTTTCTGAATGATTGAAATTCTAAGTAAATTTTGGAATACAGTGCTACTGCAAATACAATAGATAAAGTTCTTGATTTTTTTTTTCCACGTACATTCTTTATGGTTTTGAAATTCTCCCCTTCCCAGTTCCTTTTTTTTTAAATGACAAACCTAGTTGCAGTTCAACTCACTTTAGTAAAGAGCTTGATTATAAATTGTAGCTGTATCAATAATTTTATGGTGAAAGAAGATGCAAAATCAGATTTCAGCCCTATTCTTCATGCACCAATAACAGAAAAGAAAGCATTTGATAATAACGTTGGTTTTCTTTTCTTTGAAAAAGTATGATGTCAAACCTTACTGTATGCTGGGATGTTTATAATAAGAACGATGGATTTAAAGCAGCCAAAACATCCTCAATTCTTACCAGTCTTACACATCTATGGATCTCATTAATTTAGTATTAGAATTATTTTTTAAATAGTTCATACCTTGGTTTTTCAGTATAGGGATGATTAAACTGTATCCATTCATTTTTACTAATACAGTAAGTCCAAGCATCACCTGATTAAAGAAAAAAAAAGCTATGAAGTACATTTTTCTGTCAGTGTGACACTGACATTTAAAGGGGACAGCTTTAGTAGGAAAGGTAATAAATCAGATTGTGAATAGATACAGAAAGTATATTTCCTTTTTTTCTCTGCAATTAACCAAGTAAGCCCTTTGCATGTTACAGCTCCTCAAAGGGGCTTTTAAGTGCTCCAGGTCATTTCTTTACTGGAGAAAATGGATGGCTGTGTCACAGTACGAAAACAATTACAGATATGTTTTTAGGATCAAAATTAATAGCAAACTTCCCAACCAACTCTGTAACCCAGCAGTATATCTAATACTTTTTTTCCCCAAGCTATTTATATATTATGATTTCATTATATGTTTTTAAAGACTTACTTAGTGGCTGTTTATCAGTGGTAAATCCTCCAAAGAGAAAAAGATGATCCGAAGAAACTGGTGTTAGCGAGTGCCAAGATCGGCCAACTGGGCATATGCCTTGTGGAATTCTGAAGATAATAGCTAAGTTATAGTATCTGTGTTTTAAATCAGCTACTGTATTTAATGTAGAGAAATACTGGTAAAAGAAGTTCTCTTTTAAAAATTTATATAGAATTGTTATGACCAGAGACTTTAAAAAGGCTTCTTGGTGTTAACAAGTACATGCTTTATACTGAATTATTTTCTTTGAAGGCAGAGTCTACTTTAGACCTTTTCAACAAACATGAGCATATGCTATGTGCCAGGCACACAGTTATGGGAACCAGAAATACAAAAATGAAGATAAAATTTCTTAATCTATTGATCATGTTTATTTAAATACATAGTTATGGGAAATTTGAGCAAGTATAGATATAAACACACTAATAATAGAGAGTAGGAAAACAACCTGAATTTTTTTTATAACTTTTTTAAAATAAATCTAAAGTTGTACCTACAATTCATTCCACTCCCATGTATCCAGATTAAGATAGTGAAGATCATTCATTCTAGCATCCTAAAAAAGGATAATTAAAATTATCATTTTGGATAATTCAAAAGCAAGTCATGGAAACTGTTATATACTTACTCGATATCTGCCTCCAAACACAAAGCCTTTGTTTCCAACAGTTGCACAGGCGTGAGCAGCACGAGGTGAAGGTACTTTACCCTATTAAAAAACCATTAAAGCAGTGTAATAAGTGACCTCTTTATAAAATGGAGGGAAGATACCAGAAAGAAATGGTCTTCTCTGAATGTGGTAAGAATCTGCAAGACACTTAAGCTTTTAAGCTGAAGTGCAGGCTTTAATCAAAGCAGTACAAATGCTGACTACCAAAATTTAGGATTTTATGTTTTTGAAATGTACTACTGAATGGGCTGGTTAATGTAATCAAATGCTTGCTTTGTTTTTTATCCCTTAAAATAAAGACTAGCACATTATATAATATCTGTGTCAGAGGGGAAAGAAAGCTAACATTTGAGTAACTTAAGTTACAATCTAGTGGTAGATCATTTATTTAATTACAGGTAATAGCAACTACTATTTAAAATCAACTAGATAACAGATGCTGGGTTAGTCTCTTTAAACATTCTTTAACTTTTTTTGCATTCTGGACTCCTTGAAGAATAATGAAAGCTATGGATCTTCTCTTCAGAAAATAAGAATGAACTGTCAATTTCACATCACCTCCCAACTCTGGTAATCAAACCAGTTGCCGTGGAATCATTGCAACTCATGGTGGTGACTCCATGTGTGTCAGAAGAACTGTGCTCCATAAGGTTTTCAATGACTGATTTTTGGGACGTAGAACACCAGGCCTTTCTGTTCAGATGACTTTGGATGGACTCGAACTGCCAACCTTTCTGTTAGCAGCCCATTAACCATTTGTACCATCCAGAGACTCCCCAATTCTGTATATCACCCTTTTTCTCTAAGCAGCCTTGCCTTAATAATTATTCTTCAGTAACTCACCGTAGTTATAGGCTGGCTCCAGGTAAATGTTTCAGTATCTAAAATATGTACATGATCATTCCATCCTCTTGGATGACTTGAATTCTGGGAAAGATATATAAGAATGTCTGGGTTATTTTACAAATAATGTATGTAAAATTATATATAGCTCCTTGTTTGATTTATTAACAAGGCAAACTGAAAAGAACCCCTAGCAAAAGTAAAAACTGCATACTAAGTAGACCATATATAAATATGAAACTTCACTTACCCAAAAAGATGTTTCGTCAAATTCAAAAGTTCCCAGTACTTTATCTTCAGGTAAATATCCATACCCTCCAAAAAATATTAACCTGTTAGAT